GTTCCTCCTTTACCAATATTGGTCAGACTTTGAGAACGTTGGGAAAGAATTTTCTGCATGACTAATCTGGATGCTGAGGCATGAGGCAGCTGATTTAATGGCCACTGCAATGAGGTTTCAAAGAAGCCTTGACAGCTAAGCTGGTGAGAAGGGCAAGAGCCATGATTAGTGGAGTGGAGGTCCAATCCTCAAGTAAACTCAGTGGCTTACTCAAAAGAAAACTTCAGGATGGAGTCATTCCTCTTGATGTATCACAGAGGTAACTTGCGCACATCTGCCAAGATTGAGATATTACTGCTCTTTAATGCTTCTTCTGTGAGATCAGTTGAAATGAAGTGATCTCATTGGTCAGCAGAGGGTAAAACCATTAAAAGGATGACACAATGCTGATGACCTCATCCCTTAAGTGAGTTTTGTGAGAACAAGTCCCTGCTCCTTAGTGTTATCATAAGACAGGGACAGGGTTGATCATAACAGGCCAAGAGCAAATTAAATCTTTGCCTCACAGTAAAGAAATTGCCTTCCCAGGTCTGCCAAGGTTTTCCCAGACAGGGGAAAATGGTCTCAGTGACAGTTTACCCACTGGGATCTTTGCAGAGAAATCTTCAGGCAGCCTGGGGAGGGGCTCACTGGCCTAGAGCACCAGAGATTCTCAGCAGATCAATGTGTGGACTATCACAGCAGATGCCTTGTGGAAGTTGAAGACACACTCTGGTGAGAAAAAATAGCAGGCAATGTCTCTTCTCCAAAGCCAAAAAAATCTGGAGATTCCCCAGTCTGTAAAATTATTAGTGTGCCCACATTTAAGGTGACCTTTCAAGTGTAAGTTAATACAGAGCAAAAGGCTTCAGAAACAGCCAAAGGAACCTGATGCTGCTACCCTAAATGGAAAAAACCCAGATATGCCCTGGTGTCTGACATTTATATACCATGCCAGGTCGTCGGTGGGGGTGTGTGATATCAGCTGGGCTGGCAGATGGAAAGGGGAGAGTGGGACTACTTTAACCTGTAGTAAAAAAAATTAAGCAGAGAGAAGAAAATATGCCCTCTCTTGAATTTCTACAGTGGAAAATAATCCAGCACTGTCTTTGGGAACAAAAATTACTGACCCCCAAGCCCAGGAGATTGCAATAAACCATATTCTACAAAGCCCTGACCTGGATATTAAGGGGCCAAGCCAATCTTGCTTAAAACAAACACAAAGTTAGTAGCTTTGATCTTGCTGGGAGAAGTTTTGCTCATTACACAGTGTGGCTTAACACTATGGAGGAGAGGTGTGGATGGGAAGGAGATGCTGTTTTGTGGAACAGGAAAACGAAAGAGGCAGGGGTAGCCTAGCAGTATGATACCTTTCAGTATGGGATGGGCCAAGACCAGCCGGCTCTGGTTCCTCTTGTTCTGAGCTGCTGCTGGCTTTGGGCTCTCTGGTTCCAAAGGGACAGGTGAACTGTGAAGTGAAAGAGAAAAGATACTAGCGACATTGCCTAACATAGGTCTTGGGTCTATGGCACAAGGCTACAGTCAGGATTCAGCATCACTATTCTCAGTCCTGCCACAGTCTCCTCATGTGAGTCTTGGCAAGTCCCCCAGCTCCACCCCTCTGTAGTACTGGGTTAACGATGTGTTCCCACTTCAGAGAATAAATGTATAGTGGCTGGCCTGGGCTTTGAGATTCTTGGATGGAAGGCATTACAGAAGTATGAAGTACTACATGGCTCTGTACTAAATAAATACATTTTACTGCTATTAACAACAATGTAGCATCTTCTGTCCTAAACTACCTCACAAGTTTATCACAGAACCAATGCAAGTCAAAGAAGCTGGAGCAGTGGTTCAAGGTCTGGTCTAACTAACACCATAGGAAGAATGGCACCGAATGGGTCATTAACACCACTTTCAAGAATACCGAGGTGTTCCCTGGAGGGCTCCCATGCAAGCGCTGACCAGCTTCTGAGAAGGAAGAATATGCTATGGAGACTCCAGTTCTCTCACAACCATGGCTCATGAAGGCCACTGTACCTTAAAGGTGCCCTATTCTTGCAGCTTGATTGCTTCAGCTTTTCCTCCCCTGCTTTTGGGACCAGATTACTGAGTGCCCTGGTGACCGCTGTGGCTTGCTCAGCTTCTTCCTTAGCTCTCCTCAGCCTCTGCTCTTCTTGAAGTTCAAGGATCAGCTCCTGCTGTTCTTGCAGCTGCCTCTTCTGCTCCTCAATCAGCTGCTGCTGAACGGCATGGCGGTGCTCAAAGCGACCTCTGACAGCAGAGGCCATTTTGTGCCCAGGTGCTGCAGACCACTGGGTAGGAAGGACTGTTTGACTGCTGGGCTCACCCTGGCCTGGCACATCCAGAGCAGTATGCTGAAAGGCAATCGGTCTGGGGTGCTTGAGTTTCTGGCACGAATGAAGATGAGGTGTCCGGCTAGCCTCCCAACAACAAGGTTCTACACTTGTCATGGGCGCCTCTTGAAATGGTGTTTCAGTCACCTGAAAGGAAGGGCTTTGATACTTATTTGAGTCAAGATCTCTGCTGCCCTTACAGAGTAAGGAGCATCTTTTTAACAAAACAAAACAACAGTGAAGCGAGTCTGAGAATCAAGATAATCCCGCATGTGTACTCTCGACACAGCTGTTAGCAATCGTAGAGATGTCCAGAAATACATGCCAGTGAGTCTGCATCGTCCGAGGATTTCACGAGGCATAAAGGATCCTAAATCAGCCAGCTCTACCTATATGGTAAGTAAATTACCCCAGGGGGACTGGAAAAGGACCCTACTGGGCAGGTGCTTCAATCTGGATTCCTACCCTAACACTGGGTAACTAAAGTCCAAGGTTATGAACACAATCTCTTTTGGATTCATTCACCGAAGACTAAGATAATAAGAAAAGCAGCTGTAAAAATGTGGCCTATGGGACCAATCTATAAGGCTAATTTAGAGAAAATCCTGTTTTAAACAGAGGAAGTCTTAAAGAGCCATTGCTCCAGCTCTGCAGAACTGCATTGATAACAAAACAAATAAAGCATCAGAAAACTGGGCCCCAACCTACTAAGCACTTAGATCTGCTGTGTAATTCCCAAGCCAAAATCCATCCTCAGATATATCCTTTGAATGGATACACCAGTTTCACTGGCGTATCTGAAGGAAGGAACTGATCTATAGGGGCTGTATAGGTGTAATGGAGGAATTCTCCCTTTCCTTACTATCATGCAACCTCATGTGACAGGATCTGTCTTCATCTCGCATGTGACGGTTCAACCTTCAGGAGGATTTTCCCTGCGTGCTGCACCCACATACCCAGGCCCTGAGGGGTTACCTTGTCATTGATGCCCATTGGTCCCTGTCATACAAGAAGCCACTCAGACATTTGAAGGACTCAGAGAAATAGCAGTGTGCCCTCCCTTAAGATAGGCTATGACTGTCTCTTATCTGATACTTGCCCTTCACAATACAGGCTTCATGGAAGCCAAAGTTTGGTCCACAGTGGGTGTCTGTGTACATATTATTCCTCATTTGCATGCTGTTAGTGTGTACAGGCTCCACTCAGGATCAGGGCCTTGTTATACTAGAAGACACACACACATACACACACACGTGTGCCAGTTGGGTTAGGGAAAAACTTATTCTTGTACTTCCTCATGATGTGTCTTGCCTCAAAATTTCCTGAGACAAATTCTGCTCTGCTGTACTCTTTAAAAGTCAATGGGGTGGCACTTGTGTAACTGAAAGCAGATGCTGGCTCCTTTTTTTGTAATGGTATGGTTGTAACTAATGTATTTTTGCTGTTCAGTATATTGAGACATAAAACCTATAACTTTAATTCTCCCTTGAAAAGCAAGCCAGATGCTGCAAGTCTCAGTATGGTAGCTAGTACATAGAGAAATTATATTCTTAGAAATAACCTCCACAGCTGTTAGACTCCTCCACCCTTCTAATTTGCCTGTGGGCTTTAGAGGCTGTCTATTATAGAATTTACCTTTTCTTGCCTCTTTTGTTGATCTTGGGTCATTTTTCTTGCCCCAGGCCTGCTAACATGGGATGATCCATCTGGGCCTATTTTCCCCAGTAATACTGCCTCCAGCAGATGCTCCATCCTCCTTCTGGTCTCCTGTTTTCTCCATTGTAGCTCCCTCTTTTCTGCCTCTGCTCGGCTCCAGCACCGCCACTCTACAAAGCAGCAACGCAAAACCCGTCTCTGATTATACTCAGAGGCAGACTGTTTTTTCCTGGAAAACAGAAGCACTTCCATTAAAATCAGGGAAGGGGTCAATCAGCCAGGTTGGAAAACCTCTCTCCTAGTCTACCAGAGATTACCAGGGAGGGGAAGCAATATAGAGCATGCCATGGATGAGGTTTCACACTTTCCTTAGTTCTGCTTGACATTACTACATTCAGGAGATTTCTGAGCACTATTTCCTGTTCCCATTAAAGATGACAGGAGGCTTGTGGCTGACAGAGACAGTACTGTTTTCTTTAAATACTTTTGTCCCTGCTCACTGTTTTACAGTCCCCACCTTCATCCTTCTGCAATGGGGCAGGAGTTAAGAGGATGCACTCTTGTCTTCTCCAGCCCCACCTACAGGTTCACCTACAACAAACTTCTGCTGTCAGTGGGAAATCCAACTAGTGGGCTCCTCAAACCACTGAGCCAAACTAGTCCCTGATGTAACCCCAAGAAGTCAGTGGATGGCTGGATTTATCAGAGACAAATTTAGCTTGCTGAGACTTGGGGGCCTGGAGGAAGGACTAAGTCAATGAGAGAGGCCCTAGGAAGGACACTTATAGACAGAGGCAAAACAGGGATTTTTGGAGAAAATTCCTCCTTTGAACCATTCTCATTTCAGTGTGCATGATAGTGTCTCCAACAGGTGGTAACTGATGAGCAGGGAACCTGGTTTTCCATTTCCCACGGAAAAACAGAGAAAATCATGGATTTCACCTTTTAGCAGAGAAACCCGTGGATTCTCTGCTTTTGCAAACAGCTCTGCAGGCTGGTTGAGCTCCAGCCTGCAAAAGCTGTTTATAAACAGGGCAGGAAACCCACAGCTCAGCCCAGAGGGGAAGGGCAGGGCCTGAGGCTCTCACTCAGCAACAGCTCCACTCAGCTCAGCTTCACTTTACTTCTGGATCCTGTGAGGTAAGTGGGGCTTTCAGGGGGCTGGGGTCCCCTCTAGCAGGCTAGGAGGTTGCAGGTCATGACTGGGGGCACTGGCAGGGCTTGGGGGAGGGAGCCAGGAGCTGGCCCCAGCCCCACCCAAGCAGGCAGAGCAGTGGGGGAACCGGCTCCATGCTGCTTCTGCTGCAGATGCCTGCTGTTGGGGGCAGCGAGCTGCAGACTTGGGTCCCTAGCCACATAGCCCTGGCAGCTGGGGGCCCCCTCAAGCAGGGCTGGGGGGCAGGGGCTGTGGGGGGGGCAAGAGGTACGAGTAGGGCAGCGGGGCTGTTTTGGAAGCAGTGAGGGGCACCAGCAGGGCTGGGGGAAGCATTGGAGGGGTGTGAGGGGTACCAGAAGGACTGGAGGGTGGGGCGCTGCAGGGAGCTTTCAATTTTAATAATGGTTTTTGGGGGTTTTATCAGTGAATTTGCGATTTTGTCAGAGAAAAATCAGGATCCCTGCTGATGAGTAGATTTACTAAGGACAAAGGTTTTCTCATTCTTGTTAATAGACTATCCCATTTTACAAGCTTCCAGTTACCACAAGACTGCTTCACAGCTGTTAGCTTCTCTGTGAAAAAGAGGCATTACATGGTCCAAGAGTTGCTACCTGTTTTGATCCCTGAGATGAGTCTCCAACTTCCGAGTCTCCTGCTCCAATTTCTGGGCCCAAGTATAGTCTCTCCAGGCTCGTAGGACCTTTAGCTGGCGCTTCCAGTCAGCGAGGGCCCTGGCTTTCCCCATTTTAATCCTGTGTTCCAAAACGAGCTTGAACCATGCAGAGAAATGCTGCTGTAGGCACTGCATTCGGAAGGTTAACAAAACCAGTGAGTGAGTGTACTTTAGCAAATGAATACTCATTGGCTCAAGCCTTCCCTTGGCCTTTCTCTGCAAGAAATCTTATGTTTTTAAACCTGCAGCAAGTGCCCCTGAAGGTTGAGCAGTGATGCGAAGATAAGTCACGCATCATATACAGCTGTGATTATTCAAGTACTAAATTAAATGTGCAGTAACCACTGCACATTAATGAAAGCGTAGATGCACCCAGTGGCTCCATAGCAAAATGTGATTAGTTTGCAAATGTAAAGCAAAGGTGCTTAACCTTTGAGCTTCACAGGCCAGAGGAGCAGCATGGGACCAGTTCATGTGCCAGATCCTTTCTTGGTTCCTTGTGTAGGGTTGGTTCCTATGCCACCCTAATCAGGCCTCATGTGCCCAGATCAAGCCCTGCACTGTCCCAGCCCCATGTGCCCTGTTTTGGCCCTGTGCTACCCCAGCCCAACACATCCAATCTAGCACACTGGGCCATGCTATCCAGCCTGTTTGGCTTTCCCCTGGTCCAGAAATTTGACATCGGGGGGCAACGATTAAGGCTGCCAATGCTCCTCCAACACCAAATTTTCAGACCCATGGGGCGCCCAGCAGGCCAGATGACATGGCTCTGCAGGCCAGATCTGGTCCGTGGGCCAGGGCTAGAGCACTCCTAGTGTAAAGGAACAAAATAAGTGAGAAATAGAACTCCTAGAAGGAAGGTTGTTTCCAAATTGGCAAGAAAATAAGATGCCAAAGATGGGACTACCTTTACATGGAATTTATGCCCCTCCTCCCCATTTGTCAACAAGCTGTCAGCTGCTTTTTAAAGACTAGACAAAAATCTAGCCACTTCCTGGTGCTAAAATTTATGACGTGACCTAGAGTTGCCCTCTTTCCACTAGGAAGTTAAAGCATTTCCCTGTGGTGTAATCAGACTCGTTGCCTCCAGGAGTGATTTACATCGCACAGAACAGCAATTTGCTATCTAATCTACCCAATAATTCTAGGCCTGTCACTGCAGATGCTGTTCATTTTGATCCTCTAAGCAGGTCAGCTTGGAGGGCTCAGCTGCTTCCCTTTTGGGCATAATGGCCTGTATTAATTGCATTTATCTCAGTCATGGCAATCTCCAAACAGAGTATTAGGAAGAGGGCAAAAAGTCAATATATTGGTTACTTATTTCTGTTCCAGAAAAGAGTCAGTGGTGTTATTGCCTATATCAGCTCTGTTACAGTTCCTGCCCTTGAATATGCCCAGCTTATATCATACAAGCCTTGAATCTTTCCACAGTTTCATTTGGACTGTTAATGTTCCATCGCAGCTTGTGGTGTAGTATTGTTGTGCGCTATTAAACAATCTCTTTGCTCTGCTCCTGCAGTGGTGGCATACGAGTTGTACTGCAAGTGATCTTCAGGGATAGTTGGTATAAAAGCTAGGGGGTACTTGTGCATGAATTATTCTACACATACATAAGATGATTAACAATGACAAATGATCTATTAATTTAAAACAGAGTGCCCTGCCATTTATGACACAGGGCCTCTGTTATAAGCCTACAGCTTACACAGTGAGTGCAATACAAAAGCCATTTTTAAAAATTTTTCAGATACTGAATAAACATTTCCATAGTCTCAACAGTGAAGAGATATTTTCCCTACTGTTCTGTAAACTCTGGTCTTTGACACTGAGGAGAAACAGCAAGGGAAATATAGGGGGAAACATAAAATTTCTGTGCCAGGGTTAGTATTTTAGCAAGACACTCTCAGCATAAAACTGTCCTTTTAGTTTAACAACAAGCTGTTTGCCATGACAGATTTAGGCTGTGCTAATCAAATCATATCATCTGAACTATAATTTAGCATTAACAAGCAAGGGGATTGGGTTAAAGGCCATTAAAGAAGACCTACTTCACAGGCATTTGGCACTCTGTTCCTGTAATGTTTGCATTATCCTGGGGGGTAAGAGAATTGCTTCACTGCATAAGTCAAACAGGAAAAAAGTCCCTCTAGATTTCTAGCATGCACCCTTAAAACCTCAATGCTGAGTGCTACAGGGCATCTGCCATACCACTATCTCCTTGGTAGCTTGACACTTTGGGAGCAGAGAGCTGGGTAGTGATAGGTGAAGATGAGACGGTGTTGTACCTCTGACACACAGCATATACCTCACAGCCCAGAGGCAGTGTGTTGAGATTGCTTTAAGCCACCTCCTCTCCTGAGCTACTCAGAGGGCTGGAGAGACCCCTATCTTACACTAAATTATGGCAGTCTCTTGAGGCCCTGCTATAGGAACCAGCAATGCCTAGAATCACCACATATGCTCTAGCCCCACAAAACTGACGTAATCTTTCAACCCAAGCCCTGCCCTCAGAACATACCCTTCTCCTTGCAAGAGTCTTTGAAGAGAAGCTTTACAGATGTCTTTCATGGTACTGGTGTGACAGGGCTCCTCCCCCGGGGCAGAACTAAGAGTTGAAGGCCCCTTTATGCCACTACAACCCTTTTATTTGGAACAAGGGGCCAGAGAGGGTAAAAGAATCTCACCCTGAGTTTTCAGAGGTGCCCTATGCATCTCTTTTTGTTTTACCTGTCAGAATGGGTTGCTTTATGCCCACAACTGCTTCAAAAGCCTAGTAGTACCCACCACTTTCACTGAAGCGCATGGATGGGGAAACTGAGGCACAGAAGTTACAGTACTTGCCTGTGGATCCAGCAGCAGAATCTGTGTCAGGATTCAGGAGTCCCTTGCCCCCACTGCAGTACTCAAATCACTAGATCACCAGCCTCCAAAACTTCTCCTTTCCTCTGCTCTCTCCCCCTATCTTACTTTCCCTTCATGCGACAACCAGGAAGAATAGCCACCAGCCAGGGTTTGTGGCTTCAACAGGAGTTTCATAAGTACTGTGTTTACCCAAATCCAAGACAATGTTTTCTTCCCAGAAAACTAGGGGGAAAAAAAGCCTCATCTTAAATTCAAGAACCAGCCCAGGGCAGGAGGTGACTCAGCTCTAGCTTTAGAGTCAGGAGGCAGGCACAGGCATGGGGTGGGGCAAGGGTAGAAGGCAGTGGGAAGGTAAGGATAGGCAACAGGGGTCAGGCACAGGTATGAAGGAGATAAGGGACATGGGGAGCAGACAATGGTGCGGGGAGGAAGGGCAGACCACAGGCAAGGGGAAGTAGCAGGTAGGCAGTAGGGGGGCAGCTACTGCTTTTCCCATCACAGCAGTAAGGGGGAAGAATTTAGAATGACCTTCTTGTAACAGGGAACCCTAACTCTTACTGTGAGAGAGAAAGAAAAACAAGAGAATGATTGTGTAAGGTGGATTGGACCAGTAGAGGGTGTACAAGATTGTACAGGGTGATTTGGTTAGGGATGATACCATCTCAGGAAGGGGGTTGGACTAGATGGCCTCTGAGAGTCCTTTCCAGGCCTACTTCTCAATAGCTCTACGAAGAAAAACTAGCAAGGTTTAAGACCAGAACTTTTGTAGCCTGCAGAAGGGAGGGGACAAGTAACAGCAGCAGAGAGCAGTCTTGGCTGAGCCACTAAAGCAGAGGAGATCCCAGCTGCCAGGATGAACACCTAGCTGAATAAAAAGGGGCAAGCTTCCTGCTTCAAGTGAGGGCAGCAATTGCCCAGTGAGAGCCAGTTGGCCCTGGGATATGGACTTGGCTCTTGCAGAGCTCAATCTGCAAATGGTTGGCTGCAGAATGGGGGGAAATTACTAGCATCTGGGCCCCATGAACAGGAAGCCTGGTCAGCTAACCAGCAGGTTGGGGCTGACTAGTATACAGATTCTCCTCCAGGACAGAGGAGCTGGCTGGCCCAGTTGGTAGAAAAGGACAAAGCACTCTTGGGAAAAGGAAGGAACTACAAGCCCAGCATAGGAAACTTCTGCTGGTAGAGAGTGAGTGCATTTAAGGGACTAAGGACTTGATTAAGGGCAGTTCTGGTGTGCAGAAAGTGTTGAGTTTTCTGTTGAAAACTATTTGTGTTAACTCAGTAAGGGTCTGTTGTCTTTTTATTTGTTTGCTTGCTAACACCTGGTGGACCTGGGCAGCTATGAGGGGAGGTTTGGAGGCTACAGAGCAGAGTGCCTCCCTTTTTGGGAGGGAGGTAGGCTATAGCTTAGACGGTGCTGAAGCCCAGATGTTCTAGTCTGGGCTCCTGGCCCAAAGCAGGCTGAAGCCTGGGAGGGGCTAAAGTCCAGGCCAGAGTGAGATAGGGCCAGGAGCCCAGGGAGAGTGGGGGGCAGAGAGAAGCAGAGTCTCACTCAGGCTAGTTGGACTAGTAATAGTCTGGGGAGGAGTGGAGTGGAGTGGAATGAGGCACCAACAGCTGAACTCTGGTTCCCTGAAGGCAGCCTCCTAAAAATATTATACTAATTCTAACATCAAGGCATGGCAGGAAGGACAGGAAAGCCAAACTGGGGGGCTGGCATAGGAGGATGAGTATAGTGTGGCCACCCCTGGAGATGCACCCCAGTTATACTTCCACTAATTGGATTCTGTACATGGAAAATTGAAATTTATCAATTTCCATGTATAGAACCCAATCAGTGGGGTGGGAGGTCATCTAAGATTCAAAGTTGTCTTGTATTCAGGTAAATGTGGTACATAACAGATAGAATATTGAATGAAGGAGGAGGATGCTCACTCGCTGGTTCTGTATATGAATCCTGGTCAGCCACTCCTTCACTTTCCTCTGTTTTTCTTTTCCTTGCTCTTCCTCCTGATCCAAGGGGGTTGGTGTCTGTTCTGCCACCATCAGCTTCTGGGTTTTTACTGATTTTTGCCTCTGCCTCTCTCTAAAAACAAAATAAACACCAGGAAGCACAGTCAGATAGATAGCAAGTGAATAAGATACTGCAGTATCTTCAACAACTTTCAGAGAATGACCTCTGCTGTGGGAAGATGATAGCTACCTAAACCCAGCCTCCATAGCAAGCAAAGTTAGCTTTGAGATTTAAAGACCAAGTGAGCACAAACCACACAGATTCAACCTGCTCAGGAAGGGGGTCCAGAACATGGCAATATTAAGAACATAGGTCTGGATGAGGCCTCCTGAGACATCACTTTCATTCTCCTGCCTTCCTATTCAAATGTTAATGCAAAGCATCCTCCTCGGGAGCCAGGAGCAGCGGGGTGAGGAGGGATCCAGGCACACACGTGTCCCGCATCCACATGTGCCCCCTTACCAGACCTGAGGCGGAGGCGGATGCAGCAGCAGCAGCTGATCCCCCTAAGGTGAGTGGGCAGAGGGACTGGACGCAGCTGAGCCGGATCCAGAGGGGAAGCCCCCCGGATCCCTCTTAGCTAAGCCAGTAGGGAGCCGCACTCCCGAGCTGCGCCAGGAGGAGGTTAGCAGGCTGAAGGGAATCAGGGAGGTGGAGGAAGAAATTGATGGCTATTTCCTTTCCCTGCAGGGCCACACACCCAAGGAAGAAGCACCTCAGGAAGTGCCCTCCACTGCAGAGCGGCAGACAGTCGCCTCCAGAACCAGGGCTGCTCATAACACAGCAGTACCACTTCCTCCAGTCCAGCTGGAGAACAGGTACGAGGCCCTGGCAACACTGGAGGAGAAGGAGGGAGAGAAGGCAACTCCACGCTCTGAACAGGCTGAAGGAACTAAGCAGTTCCGAAGAAGAAAGCATCGAGTGATTGTCATAAGCGACTCCATCCTGAGAGGTACGGAGGGCCCCATCTGTTGCCAGGACCCCTCAATATGCGAGGTCTACTGCCTACCCGGAGCAAAGATTCATGATGTGATGGGGATGATCCAGGCCATGATCTAACCCACCGATTACTACCCCATGGTCCTAATCCATGTGGGTACTAATGATGCGGCCAGGAGAAGCCCTGATCACCTGATGGCGGACTACCATGCTCTGGGGGGTGTGCTGAAGGAGATAGGTGCACGGGTGGTTTTCTCTTCTGTCGTACCAGTGAGCGGACATGAAAGATGGCATGTGACGTGCATCACAGAGACCAACTGGTGGCTTTGGGAATGGTATCTTGAGGCAGGCTTTGGCTTCCTTGACAACGACCTGCACATCACGATGAGACATGCTCAGATGGAATGGGCTCCACCTTTCTCCTAAAGGTAAGCGTGTGTTCTCTTCTAGGTTGACAGATCTCCTCTGGCGGGCTTTAAACTAGGCTCGTTGGGGGAAGAGGAAGACAAGGGCGGAAGAAGATTTGGACTGCCAAACCAAGCAACACCCACAAGTACAGCGCAGCCTAGACCGACGAGCGGAACATATACACAGGTAAGCAACAGGGGCCAGGGCAATGCTGTGATTAGGGGGCCAGTGCACAAATCCACAGGAGGCCTCAAATGCCTCTACACAAACGCTCGTAGTATGGGAAACAAACAGGAGGAACTTACCCTCCTGCTAGCTGGCACCAACCCAGACATAGTGGGGCCCACTGAAACATGGTGGGACCCAACGCATGACTGGGCAGTGAATATCAAGGGCTATAGGGTGTACAAGAGGGACAGGACAGGGAGGAAAGGCAGGGGTGTGGCACTCTACATTAAGGAGGAATACACATCCTCACCAGGTAGCAGAGTCAGAGGAGGGGCACTCTGAAGTGCTCTGGGTTAGAATACAAGGCAGTCGAGGGGAAAGAGACTCAACGGTGGGGATCTACTACAGACCTCCCAACAAAGGGAAAGAGCTAGACCAGGAATTCTTAAGTCAGCTCACGGAGGTAG